TTGCACCCTTGCCCATGCTGTCCCATGAAATCATTCAGGAATATCAGTGGTTCACAGTAGCTTTCGTTCAGCTGAACAAATGGCAACGAAGCATCCACACTGGCATTAATTAGCAGGTATCTTCTTGATTAAGGCCAAGGACTCTCGTGCACACCAAAGCCTCCCAAAGTCCTAGAAACAAGTATGCTGTGTTTCCAGACAGGCTGAGGGAGCCAGAGCAGCTAGAAATGCTGCTGCTGCTCGAGAGAGCATCTAAAATGGTCTCTGGATAAGAAGGTGGTCCTAGCAAGCTCTCTGGTAGTCCTAGTGAAGTCCTAGTGAATCAGCGATGAGACCTTGATCTGAGACAGCCTGATTTATTTGAACTAATAAATTGCCTAATCTTGACTCTCAGAGTGCTCCCAAGACAGCCTAATAGTTGAATCTCATTGAAGTTGCCGAAGAACGTAAGGCCCTCTTGCTGGCGAATTACTTCTAAGATCTGAAGGAAGGAAAATAACCTTTGAATGGTTTATGTGCCCCCATGGTGACTAGGAAAGCTGGCTCGACTCCAGTTAGAAAGTGCTTTCTAAAAAAAAAAAACCCAAAAAACAAAAAAACCCTCATTAATATTCTATCACCAGCTCTTCGCTTAGTGTCACCTGCCTTCCACTGTTTTGTGCTGAAAATGCTGCTCTAAAAACGTCTATTTGGAAGTCACTGTCATGGGTCTTTCACACTCAGAGGTAAGGGCTGCTGTGGTGTGGATACAAAGTGTTGTGGGTGTGCCGATGATAGTACAAAGCTATGTTTGAATCTATAAATCTGGGTATGGTGGGAAGCCTATGAGTAATATGTATGCAATGTACACAGGATCTTCACAGCTGATGAAATTCCAATTTTCACTAAACAGCTGGGCAAGTTTAAGCTCTTGCATCTTTTTCTATCCTGCACTTCAATTATCCATGTTCTTCTTGGAAGTCTGGATAGGATAGCAAAAATTCAAAGGTTTTCATGTATCTGCAAGTGTCTAACCACTTCTTGTATACAGTTTTCTCTTGGGATGTTGAAAGTAATGTATCCAAAGCCACAACTGAGTTTCCTAAAGTCTATTTAAAGCATACAATCCTTACCTATATATCTGTCCTACGAGCCTTTCTACAACCTTTTGAAAAACTAATTACCTGTCAAATGCATGCATTTCCCTCACTTAAGCTTTTCAGCATGGCCTGAGAGCTTTGGAAAGTCCAGTAGCAGGTGCAATTCTGTGTGCAAATAGCATCGTTCAAAATCAATAGACCATTTGTAGTAATGAAGGGCATCCTGTGACTTGCCGGTTTTGCACTGTCACACGCCAAAACCAATTACATCAAACGTACTGACAATCTGCAGACCTTGCAAGGAGTCTAATGTTTTATTTATGATGAGTGATGGTGAGCATCTGTGACTTTTTATGCTGTGCTGGCATTAAGCTGCTTTAATATATCAAATGCCACCCTTTCTTGAAGATTGATGTTGTGAAAGACATGAGTAATGGTGAATGTCATAGCCATCATAAAAAAACCTGGTTATAGTTCCATTTAATAACTTACCTGAGCCTTGAGAAAGAAAAGGACATGTAAGTTCTGCAAATGTAATTGAGAGATCAGAGTTGCAGAAAGTATGCGTTTTGTATTCATAGCTTTGCTTAACTTACAATGGCTGTAAGTTGTGGCGGAAAATTACCGGAAGACTAACTTTAATGAAGAGAAGTCTGCACTGTGAGTAAAATACATGGATTAAGAAAAGAACAGCTTCCATTCAAGCTGTTCTGTACAGCTTGGTACGGTAATCCGAAGATGCATTCTCATCACCTTAAAGCAGTTTTACATGTAAACTGAGATCCCAGGTTTTCTTAACGCTAAGCTTTGCGTTTAGTTTCTGCTGTTGCACAACTTGTTTGCCTTCTACATTGAAACAAAACAAACCTGAGTCTTTGGATACTAATTCTCTCTATTCAGGAAGAAACATTTCCCCAGACTGAAGTAGTTTTATCAAATATTTGGATAAAAGACATTCAGGAAGAGGCGTTCAACGATGCACAGTCCACCCTGGTGGAAATTTCACAGCAGTTCAGCCAAAGGTGGGATGTAGAATCAATTATTTCTGTTTTGTTTTGTTTTTAATATAGCCGTCGTAAATACCTTATGTCCTCTGTGTTACCCTCAAAATAAGGGCATGGAGAGACATCTTGTTGAAAAATGACTTCACGTTTCTGTGCTTTAATTGAAATAGTCTCTCTCCAGAGCTGTTCCATGAGGAGGGGGTCTTCTAGATGACGAATGTTTGGTGAGCTCAGCTGAAATTGCTGGTCCCATACTGACTAAAGCTCTTTGCCCTCCCATGGAGGGAGACAGGTGCAAACTGATGGTCTAAATGCAACAGTCTTTGCATTGTAAGACTGGCGGAGAGTCTTACAACTCTGAGATGAACGAGCTACCGAATTTGCCCCAGAACCGTGTGCCAGTTACCTGTCTGCAGTGGGGCTTTTGTCCTGGCAGATGGCTTCAGGCCACCCTGCAACCCAGATTAGTTCCCTAGCATCTCGAAAGAATGGGACCCTGACTATTTTATTCCTCTTTTTGAAGATTCTGCAGAGGCTTGGCTTGCCAGAAGGCCTCCTGCTGTATCGGAGCAGGGAACTAACCCAGCGTACGCGTCCAGGTTGAGAGAGGCCACGCTGTCTGCCTACAGCAGAATCTCTCAGACGAGCACAGATTTGACCTTGACTATGATCCTTCTCATCGGGGCAGGCAATAAGCTGATGGTGATCCTACGGGCAGGCGGGACACACCTTGAGCATCCCTCATATCGAAGAGAGACTGAGGGTAACAACTGCGCACAGTCCTGCAGTTGCTAAAGGCCTGCACTTGCCTTTAGGCCTGCACTTGCAGGCAAAGCTGCTCCAAAGCAGCGAAGGGAAACGGGTGAATTTGTCTTCAGTGCTGATGTGGAAGGCTGCACGCAGGCTTCCTGTACGCACGCACAGGGTGGGGAGCAAAGGAGGGCTTAAAGAAACGATAGGGCTGACAGGAGCCGTTTGCCCTGCTTGTTTACTGGTTCAAATGTGGATTCTTGTCCCGTACTTTAACTGCAGACCCCACCGAGAGGTAGTAGCACAGCGCAGCAGAAGGTGCGAACGGTAATGTCCCTGAGGCCATGGCAACCTGCAGCAGCAGCTGGGGATGGCAGCCTGTTGCAGCCTTAGTCATCTGTGCGGGGCAGAAAATCTCTGCTCTTGCATTACGTCTGCCCAGCTTGCGTGGTCAAAGTTGTCCAGGGCAGCTACAGACCCCTGCGCTCAGTTTTGCTATGGGCTGGGGGTAGAGTTGTTTAGGTTCCCCCAGTTGTATGTGCCTCTCCCTTCACCTTGAGGGGAAGGAACATTTTCTTTTTCATTTTCTTTTTCCTGCCCTGGTCTTCTGAGGAGTACTCCTGGCATTTTCTACCCTTCCCCCCTGCGATTAAAATTTACAATGCACGCACGTTTAAGAACCGGGATTAAAATTTACACGTTCTTATCTGTAGCTTTTTCTAACTTTCTGAATGTGTCATTTCAAGGCTTTTTTGTTTCTGTAAGTTAATAACAGTCTGTGATCACGTAAGTAAGCCTGCATTCAAAACGTGCAAGACGTAGAGGTGGCGTGGGCAGTTGAATCTGGTGTAGCCCAACACAAAGCTTTTGTGAACAGCTGAAGGTCCGAAAGCTGCAAATGGACAATCCCCGTCTGCTACAGCATACTAGTGAAGGTCTAGTTCTCAGCAAAGAGCTGGAAATAGAAAAGGTCTTAATTTTGTGGCTTTAGCACTAATGTAAGTCATGGCAAATTTGGAAAAACTCCTCATTCGTGTCTCCGTGTAAGAAGGATAACGCTAATGAAGCTTGTTCAAAGCACTGAGGAGATGTTTAAAGAATTATTTAAAGTATTATATAAATGCTAAATACTTCCTGTAAGGCTCATGTAATCACTTCTCTCTGATCAGAACCTTAACATTGTTTGGCTCTTATTATCGCAAATATCCTTTGAGAGACAGAGGGGGGGGGTGTATGTACAACAAATAAAAAATGAGCTTTACTCCACTTCAAAGGAGCCACATCTGGGTAACGATTCTCAGTCAGACAAAACCTAAAAGAAAGAGCACAACCGGAATCAAAATTGCCTTTTCCTTCCCTACAAGCTGACAGATCTTGATGTACTTCAATAATAGTCTTTTTTTCTCACCCTCCCATCTATGAAGTCCAGTGATCTATTTCATCTGCCTCAAATAAAGGACTCTTGAAAGACGTTCTCTTAAATTTATTTCCTCAGCCCTGGGGGCATACAATTACTGCTGCTCACTCAGGCTTTTCATGTTGAGATATTGAAAGGCTGCATGTGTTTTTGCCACTGTTACAGCGTTCCCATGAAAAACCCAGCGGCGGCCAGCGTGCTCCTGACGCAGGCTCTGCTCGGCACCGGCTGCACCGCTCGCGAGGGCAGCCCTTGTTCAGGTGGTTACAGAAGGGAGCAGAGTCTTTGTTGAGCTGCTGGCTGACGAACGCGCTGCCTCTCAGGTACTGATCTGCGCTCAGTGACGTGGGGAAAACGCAGTCGGGAGCGGGACGTGGGCGCCGCCTTGGACGCAGCAGCTGGTGCCTCTCTCCGAATTCCTTGGGGAGCACGTGATCAGCGCGTGCCAGCCCCTGCGACTCCAAAGATGAAAGGCTCCACCAGCCCGAGCAAAGCAGGTCAGGAGTGTAGCTTAGGCTGTCGTTCAGAAAGGCCCTTGAGCGCCCTTTGCTTTGTGAGTACTTTGGG